ACTCCCTGTACGTTATTAATTCCAATTTTCATAAAAATTGAATTTTAATTCTTTTTTAATAAAGTGGAATATTTAAAATAGAATTTAAAAAAAATATAATAGAAATTATCATGAATTTTTTGAAAAAATTTTTTTTAATTTACAAAATGTAAATTACTTTCTCATAAAAATTCGAAACTTGAAACAGAAATAAATTTTAAACAATATCAAAAATAGCATGTACCATCCAATAGTTAATAAATCTTCAATAATCTGTAAACGAAACGACTCAAAAATTTGCACAGTACCTGAAAAAAATTGTTATTGTCGTTATAATATCTAAAAAAAAAAAAAAAACTATAAAATATATACTCTACATACTCAAGGATTAATAATAAAATTCCTTCACCAATAATCTCGCCAGAAAAAAAAGAAAAAAACGGTTAGAAGCCACTAAAATTTACATTACCCTGTACCATTCGTGCAAAAGAGGGGAGCGATCGCGCGATAGAGCCATCGTTTCGAGTGCTCCATAACGAGCCTTGAAATTCTTTTCGGTGCAAGGGATGCTCTCGAGCTTTACCCCTCCGGTCGTGTGTAAAAGATACGTTCCAACACCGCGCCACCCGTTAAAGGGAAAGTTCGCTCAGCGGTTCCGTGCATAATCGTAAAGAAACAATGTTGCGAGAATCGTAACACGAGGGGGAGAGCACGAGATCCGCCGCCCATTTCGCCTCGTCGCTTCCGCTTTTCGTGTTCCTTCCTCCCTTGCGGCCAGGGACCAGCTTTAAAGCGTTTCAAATTAGCACGGGGGAGGGTGAGACAAGGAAATTTAAATGGTTCACTTTGGCAGTGGAATGAATTAATTCGTGGATTTTTTACCGTATAATTAAAATTTTGGAATAATAATTAAAGTTTGTTATAATGTGAAAACGAATTTGCGTGTATTTCCTTTTTGCAAATGATTTTTAATTTTCCATAGCATGCCTCGAATAGATACATTCTGTAGATTTTTGTCCATAAATATCCAACACGATTTTGTTACATTTAATCATATTAGATTAACGCGATAATTAATAAACTGATTCAATTGTTTATCTTTAATAAGAACATTTGATAAATATTACGGATTAATATTCTATTACGTATCTATCTCAAATATTCATGCAAATTTTGCAAGAATAACGTTTAAGAATAATTGATCGATTAATCAAGCTTTATTCCTTTAAAAATACCCACAAATTACTCATTCCACATTTCAAATTCACACCAATTCCAAACTTCTTTCGACCATCCACTCATTAAACTAAAATCCTCTCTCCTCTGCTCTCAAAAAAAAAAAAAAAAAAAAAAAA